TTATAGAAACCCAACAAAATTGGTTTTACCTTTTTAATACTAACGTGATTGATTTGTACACCTAAACATATGAAACGGAACTGACAAATTTAAATTAGAGTGAGATTGAAATATAAATTAACTTAGTAACAAAAACAACAAGTAGTCAACACAAAGACCAACTGCAACACATAAGAACGGTTGCCTGATAAGTTTAACCAAAGAAAGATTGTAATATGAACTTTATACTAAAATCTTCGATGTCCAATCAAATTTTTTGTATACCAGCTTTGCACAGTAACCATTCTTCAGCAAGCCCCTAGATTTTCAGCGCAGTCCTTGTGCACATTGTCCGGTAAGCAAGCACAGAAACAAACACGAACTCTTAAGCCAAATGTGAATTCACATCAGTGATGTTTGTTTTCGTCGCCACCTAGCCTTCACCGTATGCTTCCTCAGAGATTTGCGCCAGGCACCTCCAGGTCGGCGTGCGGTAGGGGCCCGTTTAGTAGGGCTCTCGTGTAGTATTTTTTTTCTAGCTTTGACCGGTGGAGCAGCTCTGTTAGTGGAGTTAAAGCTTTTTTTTTACAAAAAGTTTGGCAAAAATAGCTTCATCCAGTGGATAAAAATAGTAGATTGTCTATACTGCCCTTTTTTTCTCTATCTTTTTTCTTATTTATTTTACCATACTTTTATTCTCTCTCCAGCTTATATCTCTTCATGGGGAGATAGCACCGCACACAAGCATATCTCTTCACCGCACACAGGCACGCTAACCCTGTGCGTGTTTTTTTTTCGGGGAGGTGGTGCTTGACGTGGACTCTCGTGGGCGTGATTTTTTTTTTGGAAGGTGGAGCTCGACACGAACCCACGTGGGCGGGAAACGCTGGAGCGTGCGGAGTTCACGTACGGACTCACAATTAAGCTGGGAGCGGAGTGATTAAACTTGCATCCGATGATGACATTATGATTTTTTTTAGTGTAGAGATAGAGATTTGCAGCTTTCTTATTTTACCCTAACATTAAATAACAAAGAGTTTTTTTTTGGGTTTTGGTTGTTTTTGTTTATATTTTCAGGAATTTCTCGGACTTTGACTAATATGAATCTAGTTGCAAATACCGATATGCGTTGCAACTTGTTTGGTCTCGAGTCGTATTTGAATTATTATAAGGGGCAGTTTTGATCCTGTAAATTGAATCTGATTCAAGTAATAAGATTCCAGCAATTGCTTTCAATGAGAATTGAATTAGCCAGAATGTAATTGAAATATAATATTCTTGCTTGGATGTACACATAATTTATTTCTAAAATTTAAATTACAAAAGTTGTTTGGATAAAAAAAATGAAAACCACCTTATATGTATCTCTATCCGTTTTGTCTCCCACACATTCTTTGGCCAGCGGATGATGGCACTTCGGACCAGTCGTTGACCAGGGCCATGGCGATGTTCGTGTCGAAGAGCACCTGGACCCGCCACCTCCTTTTTGGATAATCCATATGCGTGCGTGAGATAGGGAGAGAGAGCGAATGCCAACAATCTGCCGGGCGGTGAAGGATTTATAGTCACTCGGCGTTGGCCGCTAGGGCTCGTTGGTGCTGATTTTTTTAGTCAAACATTGGGGGTTGAGGGATCACACCTGAATATATTCTCCCTCCATCGATTTCGGCAAGCCGGTGATGCATGATGTTAGAATGCCGAGAAGAGTTTCGGGTACATGTCCTTTTGGTCGAATTGGAAAAGAATACAAGAAACGTGGGGGCGATCTAGTTCAATGAGAGCAAAATGCACCAATCCGTCAATGACAATGTTGTAGGCGAGGGGGAAAACGATGACTCTAGAGTTGGCAGTCTTCTTTGCACGAGAGCGTCCCCGATAAGGGTGCAAATCGCTAATAAATACTATATTTTAGTCTAATGGATGAAAGAGAATGCAAAAAGTACATTTGTGAGATGTGCGGCGAGTATTTTCTATTTTGTTTACTCTTTCTTTTCCGCGTTGCCAGCGATTTGCATCCCTCTGCTGGGGACACCCTAATAGGAGAAGGCGATTCAGGTTTGGTTGCTCTCCGCAAAACATGACGCCGTGGCGGTGTTTCCATAGGTGCCAGCAACACGGTAGAATCAAAGGTGGAAAGAAGCGGCTGGTGGATGTGGGGCGGCTTGTTTTTTTTCTAGAGCCATGTTGTTAGAGCAAGGCTAATAATTTAGCCAGCTGAAGGCCGTAAGAAGGCTGTAAGATAATGTCATGTCATATATAGCCAGTTATACAACATCTGTTTTTTTGCGAAAAGTTATACAGCATCTTTGTGGTCATATATATGTGGTCATCCAATTATATAACAGATATGCTTATCCATACTATTTTACCAAACAACATAAATGAGAAAAGATATTGTTGTCGAAAAAATAAATGAGAAAAGATATGTGCAAGCTTGTTCCGAGCCTTGGGAGAGGCGGCGGCAACATCATGAACACCCGCTTCTTCATCCTCGCGTAAGCGAACGGCACCCTGCTTAGATCCGACGCGGATACGCAACATCGCGAGATTTTGGCGCGCGGCCGCGGCAAGAGTGCGGCCAGCGGTGTGGGGCGACGCACGAGATCGCGAAGAGGAAGAAGGCCCCACATAAACACTGAGGTCTATCGCTTGCATCGGCTGGGAGCGAGCGTTGTTTTCTCAGGCGATGTGATTCAGCCGGGCGATAGCCGACTTGCCCGCTTTCCTCTCTCCTCCAGCTAAGATTTTTATGACGTGGACAGTCATTTAGCCCGCCTAGATGGCCTTATTACTGGGATGTCTTCGGTGTCCAGTCCTAGGCTTCTAGCCTTGCCAGAACTCTTTGGTGAGGTGGTGTGGGAATGCGGCGCCGTGCGTGCGCGTGCGGCTCCTGTCTGCGCCGGATCTAGCCATGCCGTCGTAACGATGCTAGCGACGAGTCGACTCGAGGGGGTCGTGGTGCACGGGAAGAGTCGGGACTCGGGAGAGAGATGAAGGTTGATTGGAATCAATTTCTAGTTTTTTTTTTGCCTGTGGATCTGGAGTGGGCTGCCATTTCGAGTCGTGAAAAAAGGCAGAATCTTTGCTTTCACAATTCTTAGTCCATCCAAAGTCACCCAAGAAAGCAATTCCAATTCGTCTCGATTCAGATTATTCAAATAAGCTGCACGGGTTTCTTGCTTTCGTATAAGTTCACATGTCCTTCTCTGTCCATCTGTTTTTTCTTTTTTTTCGTTTGTCTTTTTTCTTTCGATAATGCTACGAAGCAGGCGTCCATCAGTTCGAACGTACCGCCCCGCGCGCCCATGCCATTGCTCGCTCCCGCGGCGGCACTCGCTTTGCACGCCCCGCCCGACTTGCATGCCCGCACCATTGCTCGCTCCCACCTGCGTGGATCGCCCTGGTCGTTGCACGCCCCCGTCTGTCGTGGCCGTCTCGCCGGGCCACCTTCACCACGCCAGTTCGCCACGCGCGGCGTCCATATTGCACCGAAAGTGCATGTTGCAACGTATGTGTCAAGTGTTTCGGATGTTGCAGAGGTAGATTGCAAGGGTTTTAAATGAATATTGCAAAAGTATATTCAGATGTTGCATATGTTGCAATGGCTATGAACGTATGTTGCAAGCGTCAATTCAAAATGTTTCATCTCCATCAGACGTATATTGCAAGTGTTTTATCTGGATGTTGCATATGTTGCAGTGGCTATACACATATATTGTAAGAGTATGTTCCATATATTTTATTTATTTTAGACATATGTTGCACGAAGTGATTTTATGTTAGAAGTGTTTCAACGCCATCCCCGCGTGCACAATAAAGAGCGGGACGGGCGGTCCCCGCGATACGGCAGGCGCAGCGGCAGAGCAGGCAGCAGAGACGATACGGCGCAGCAACAGAGCAGGCAGCCGCAGGCTCGTGCGGCAGGAGATACGGCAGGCACGTGCGGGCGGGCTGCTGAGCACGCACTGCAACATGTGCAGGTGTTCGGACGCGTGAGTCTGTCCGCCGGACGTCGGGGTGCACCTTAAGAATTTCTTAATAAAATTCGTAAGCCAGGTCGACTAATACGCTTCGTTTGTTTTTTTTTTTCTGTGAGGCATGTTTTTTTCGTTTGTTTTTCCCTTTTCCATCCATCATGCTTTGGTTTCTTTGTTCATGGATTTGTTTGTGCAAGAGCTATTGAGCCGATGATCTTTTTTTAGAAACAAAGATTCCTAACACTAAGTTATTGATATCCTTGTGATTAGAAATGATATTTTACTAAAAATTGATCAAATAGATAGTATCAAATTATGAAAATTAATGTTATAATATATTTATGAGTAAATTTCTTATAGTTTACGGTGGGAGAGGAATAGTCTATCAAGGCTATATTTTAATTTGATACAAGACTTAGTATGACATAGTTATATTATTGTCAACATTAACTTATATTATGAATGTCATAGTCATCACAAAATAAATTAAAGTTTAAATATTTATATAAAGAATAAAACATAAATAAATATGTAGCATTCATGTCGTCATGTTTCCATGAACATTTATAGCTTTTTTCAGTGTAATGCACAGACATATTTACTACTCTGTTGTTTTTTGTTTTTTTCTTGTTCTGGGTCCGTTTGTTGGGATAGAATTGGTAATGAGAATAAGCTTTCATGATGAGTACACATTTTCTGTGCATTATAATGCAAATTCGCATTACTAATTACTAATTCTCATAATATAGATATAGATATAGATATAATTAGTAATATTATAATGCAAATTCTCATTACCAATTCTCATTACCAATTTGCATATGAGTACACATTTTTCATGATGCGAATTCTGGGGCCACTTCCCCGGGCCCATTAGACAGCCCACCGGCTGTGAACTCCAGGTCGTCTCTCGGACTCTCCCCCGCAGGCCCGCACCACCAATTTGTGAGCACAGAAAAATTCACTGCAATTGCTAAAAAAAGAGGAAAATTTCACTGCAAAACCGTTGCGGCGAACACTCGAGCACCCCCGACCCCCGTTGAGATGGTCTCCATGGCGGCCGCGGCGGCGGCCGTGGGCGTGCTGCTGCCGTTCCCGTTCTACTACGCGCTGTGGACCCACCCACAGCGTTGGGTGGACTTGTGCGGCCGCGGCGCCGACCCGTGCCGGCGGATGGCGCAGGTCTCGCACGCCATCAAGGCCCTTCAGCTCCTCGCGCTCGCCTCCGTCGCTTCATTCTCCGGGCCCCCGCCGCTCTACTGCCCCGTCCTCCTCGCCGTCGGCCAGTATCTCAACTTCAAGTGAGTAGCCGATTCGTCCTTCTCCTGTTTGTTCTCACAGTTAGCGAGGCACCGTACATGATCCATCCCGCGTTAAGCAATAGCTTCAGGATTTTATAATCTCTACAGCTTGCAACTGTTTCTGTTGATGCAAAGGCGCATTGATTAAGGATCTCTTGTATTGTTGTCTGCGTTGACTGAATTACGAATTGTAAGGACTACTTGAATGAATTGAGCTACTGGCTATCAGAATGATAGATAGCCGAAGATATGTAAGGACTACCTTAGGTGAATCAAACTAAGTGTATTCTATTCAACGGTTCTTAGCTGTAGGAATTGGAGGTCAGTGGTTTGGAATTTGAAGGAATAACTTATTACTTCAGTCGGATCTTGTGCAAGCCTTAATTCTCTTTCCATTTAGTGCTGCAGAATTGCTTCAGGTGATTAAACACTGGTAAATGTGATTTCGAAACTGGGTACAAGAAATGGTTAGGGAAGTGGACTAGGCAAACAATTATCATTTTCTCCCGTTTAACACTCGTGGGTTTAGGCACACTGGTAGATTAATGGAACACAATCTCTTGGAATTTTCCTTGTCTTCATATAACCAATGGTTTGCATCATGGTGCTACCTTCATTGATAGATTTTTATTCTAAATTTTGTCTCTGTTAAATTGTTGATAAACCTTGAAAGTGCTGATGAGATCATGCTGTAAGACTTGGGACTCAACTCACTGTTGTAACAGATGACAACAAATTTGGCTTTTTTATCACATATGGATACCTATTTGTTTCTTTTTTAAACAAGGAGGTTAATGCTGACCAATCTTAACACTGGTTACCTGTAGGTGTCGTCATAGTGTAAGGTGTGAGTGGAGTTGGTGTGGTATGCTGTATGTGTAACATTAAGTAAATTCATTGCTTGCTTATTTCCATTTGTGTTGAAATCCCTGCCCTGAAGTTTCAGTTGCGATTAATTATTTAGTAAAATGGAAAATGATGGTAGTGCTGAGGTGAATGATTAGGAGAGAGGTGGTTAGTACCAAAGATTGGTGCACTCAGAATGAGTGGAGCTAGGTGGCTGGCTAGTGGTTACAAAGGTGAAACAGAATTCCAGCCATTACACTAGGTGAATAATGATAAACAAGAGTAGCAGAAAATCTTGCCGTGTGAACTAGTACAAAGAAGATCCTGATCTCGTCATATGGATTCCATTTTATCAATATCGTAATACTTCTACACTACATGGACATAGTACTATACTGAGGGAGTTCATAGTCATCGAAGCTTTGAAGTTTGTTTGTGTTCCAGTGTGTATATGCTGCTAGCAGTAGCAGCCATTATATGTTCTGCTATGTTTCAGATTGGCCATGATAGGGTATTGAATCTCAATCCCTGATATGCCATCACGGTGTCTATGACATATGGGGCCCCTCCAGAGTCACTGACAATGGTATATCATGGATTTAGGGTTTATTTGGTGGCATATGAGGAATTATTCCATTGAACTATTATTTGGCTATCTTCATTGATAGGTGCTTGCCATAAAACTTTGGCTCTGTTGAATGTTGAAATATCTTAAAAATGCTTTATAATTGTGGTACAGAGACAGTTGACTGTTCACACTGCAAGATAAGGGGTTCTTCAATTCATTAACAATTGATATATAACTTGTCTTTGAATGCATATGGATACCCAGTTATGTATTTCTCCAAAGAATTTAATGCTCGCCAACCTAAACTCTGGGACAACTCCTCACGGAGTAAGGTGACCTGTTTGGATCGCAGGGCTAAAAATTAACTCACCTTATCAAAATAGACTAAACATGAGCTAGTTATGGGCTAATAGACTCTAGCCACCAATTAGCCCCATTACCTCTTAGTAGCCCTGAATTAGCCCATATTTAGGCTTTCTAATTGGTATCCAAAAACAGGGGCTAATTATTAGCTCTCTGATCCAAACACCCCCTTAGTGGGGTATGCGTAACATCAAGTGAATCCATCGATTGGTGGACTGGTGGTTTCTGTGCATATGAAAATCCCTGGCCTTAAGTTTAGTACATTGTCACTGCTGATTTAATAAAATAAAAAATAATGTATAGAACACAGATGAAATCACTACTCTTCTGTATCGAACGCATGCTAGCTGGATTAGGTCAGAGGTGGATAGCACCAAAGATTGGGCCTCCAGTAGATGTCGTGCTGACACTGTTGCATGGGTCCAGCTGTTGTGGTCACAGAACTAGTAGAGTTAGATGGCTGGCTAAGGGTAACAAAGGTGAAACATAATTTCAGTGGCACGATTAGTTAGAAAAATGATAAACACATGTAGCAGAAAATCTTGTTGTTTGAACTACTACAAGAATATCGTGGTCCAGTCATACACATTATATTTTGTCGTCTTCCATAATACTAGTACACCACGTGGGAATTGTACTGTGAGTGTGCCCTGCTTTCTTCTATAGTATTGTGAGGACGTGAGGGAGTTCATAGTGCATCCTGTCTCTAAAGATTGTATTCTGGCTTATATGTGCTGTTCACAGTATCTGCCTATGTCTGTTCTGCTATTCTGAAATTGGACAACATATTGTGTTTCATTATCTGGTTACTTAGCGCTCATGTCTTGTTAGAGTCGCAACTAAAATTTTACCTAGCTGTAAAGAGCCTACACTGTATTCAATGTTATGAAGGACGCACAGTTCAATTTTTTTTTGAAAAATAGGACGCACAGTTCATTGCTTTTGTTCCTGAAACTTTTGTTTCTTTTCAGGGTGTACCAGCTGCTTGGTGAGTCTGGTACCTACTATGGCGTTCGATTCAGAAAGACGATCCCGTGGGTGACAGAGTTTCCCTTTGGCTATATCAAAGACCCGCAGTATGTTGGGAGTATGCTTAGCCTCGTCGCACTTCTGTGCTGGGTTCCGCTTCAGTATGTGCTGCTGTGGTGCCTTGGTTACGTTTTCATGATGTGGGTCGAACACAAGGAAGACCCAGCCAGTCGTGCCAAGGTCATCTCCTAATTGCTTGTTTATTGCAGCTGATATTTTCCTACAGGTGCCCCAGTGACACTGCATAAATATTCTTTCAAAAATTTTGGCACGTGATTGGTGAGAAGTGATGTGCCGTAATTTCGTATACCTTATATCAAAGTACTGTGGCAAGCTCTATTCTTGAGTAATTCATGTCAAGCAGTATGGTTGTAGACTTTAGTCGTAGCTTATTGGGTATGAGATCATCTTGTACCCTGGGCAAATATGCAACCGGGAGCGCTTGGTTGTTGGTGGCAAATATTTTGACCAGGAGTTAAATGCTTGCGCATGGACATGTGGCATGAATCTGTGATCGGTAGCCACGACTGTCCAATGTGAAGGGTCTACTCAATTTTTCCCTTTTATTAAGTATGTAATAAGTAAGAATTGTAGCTTTTTAGTCGAAACTTGTGAGGTTTCTACAGGCTGCAAATGTTCTTGTCTGAGTCTGAGAAATCTCACTACATGTTCGTACCGCCACAATGCATAATAAAAGGTGTAACACTTGTAAGTGACAAAATCACTCTGTCTCATATGCATTGTGGCGGTAAGGTGTGCCACATTGGGACGTGCGTTAAGAACCAATTGGTGCTGTTCCATTTGAAAAGCTTATGACGCCATTTTTAGTGGCGGGGCAACTCTATTTTGCATTTTTGCATCGGCACTAGTATCGGCATGACAAATCCACCTTCTCACCTTAAAATTCAATTTTTTTTTATACGGAGTGGATTAGCTAGGACTAGTTATTAGCTGGGGCTTAACCCAAATTACATGGAATTTACAAACTAGTTTTCTAATAACTAGTTGAAGGTTTTGGCTAAAAGCTTAGCCCACCTATTAACCCTGTGTTTGGTTGGACTAGGACTAAAATTTAGTTGTCTAACAATTAGCTGGCCTATGCATCAACCATGCCCTAAAATTGTAGCTCATAATAAATACTCCTATATAACTTTATAGTTTTGAGTTTTTTTCATTTAAATTCCTTAATAAGATGCTTAAAAAGTTGATACAAACTTTCAACAAATATTAAGCGCCGAGGCTTGTCATCTTAGAAATATCCTATTTTTTCATAAAAGTTGGATAGAGATGAAATTTTATTTGAAAACTGAAGTTCTGGACAAGATCTATAACATTTTATTTTGTGTTTTTTTTTCGTTTGGATTGGAGTCATTAAGGTGCTTAAATAATTGATTCAAACTTTCAGTAGCATACATGGAATGTAGTGATAACTTGCTGCCCCTGGTTAGGACTCCGATTCGATTCGGCTACGGTCTACTGATATGTCCTTAATCGTTTCAACCCCGTATACTACGACTACTAATAAATCGATCGGGTGCACGTAGCTCAGGCTCGCCCCAGCCGTAACCATGGCTCCTTGCTACACCTACGGCAAAGGCCCGGGCGGGAACTCCTGCTTAAGCATCGGGCTCACCGCGCTGCCGTGCCCCGGCGTGGCGCTCCGCCTCAACACCGTCATCGACTGCACCCCGGGCAAGGACCGCATGCCGCCGGTCACCATCGACTTCCTCAAGAACCTGCCGCAGCAGAGCGAAGCCCCGGCCCCGGCCCTGGCATCAGCCGTCGCCGCCCAGCAGGTGACAGGCCGGTTCACGTGCAACAGCGGCGACTTCGTCCTCTTCAGCCAGCTCGAGCGCGTGGAGGAGATGGTTGCGGCCGCGGGGCTGCCCCGGGAGTGCGCGCCCAGCGTGGAGGAGTTCTTCAACCTGTCCGCCTCCCACGCCACCAACTCCTTCTACAAGGCGATGACGATCACCGTGGAGGCCGGCGCGCCCGGGAGCATCGTCGTGGACGAGTACGAGGGCGAGAAGGAGGAGGAGCTGCCGCCCGGCGCGGACGTCGGGGAGTGCGCCATATGCTACAAGGAGTACCTGGTCGGCGGAGCCACGTCCGTGAAGCTGCCGTGCAGCCACACCCACACGTTCCACCGCAAGTGCCTGGACCGCTGGACGGCCGTGAACCGGACGTGCCCCTGCTGCCGGGCGCCGGTGCCGGAGGAGCAGGACTACTGGGACGAGGACGATTTTGACTACTCGGGGTCGGAGTACGAGTACGACGTCCCCGGCGAGGAGCATGCCCGACGGCAGTAGTAGCCAGGAAGTCACGGCCTCTCCGCCTTCGACTTGGAGCAGAACATCAGTGTTCGAACTTTTGCTCATGTTTGGATGTGTCGATCTTTTTGCGATGATTAACTAGGGCCTTTTCAGGAAAAAAAAATAGGGCTAGTTTAATTTGACGCTTGCTGTACTGCTGAAATACTTAACGGCTGCCGGAGGGCGCCTATTGGGCCATTGGACCACAGATAGTAGATGTAGAACAATCAGTTACTCCGTTTGCCGAACTACTTCGAATCACTGGTTTACTCACCTATGCTGATTTGTGACGACGAACCTTTACGACACCGGACCCAGCGGCTTCGTCCGTTGCTGTGCAAGCAACCGGCCGTAAACCGGCGAGGTGGCGACTCCCATAGGGCGCTCGCATGGCCCCCCGCCGGGCCCCGGCAACCGACAGAGCCAAGCGGATCACACAACCAATGCACACAGGCATAATAGGCCCACTAGAGTTGTCGGGGAAACAGACAGGAAAAATTGAAGTTAGGGTTCATTGGTCTCAGTATAGTCTTCATCAGCAGCAAACATACAGATAAGGCTCATTGTGTCTGTTAGCACTTAGCACAGTACCCCACTTGAACCACATGTAAAACCGACGCACATTCAGATTAACAGGTGATAGGAGCACTAGAAAAGGAGGGACGGCCGACGAATAATAAGTCTGTTGTACAACAGGACGAAATCCGGATTGCTGCTAGCTGTGGACTCCTTCTGCAGCGACTGGACACCAGAACCACTGCATGTAGCAACAATTTGTTCCACACAGCTTAGCGACGACGTCTCTTGTCGTAGTCATCCTCTTCTTCATCAGAGTCACCTTTCTCACGGAATCTAGGATTCTTCTCCTGTAAATGAAATATCGAATGTTTTATGAATATATTCTCCGGTCCACAAAGGCAAAATAAGGGGCCATGGCACAACAAGGAACATCGCTAGTACCGCTGGATCAGAGTCGGGTGGTCTCTTGGACTCCTCTGGGGCCGACCGGTCATCGTTCCGGTAGCGTTTCCGCTGGTAATCTGGAGACTCATATCGTGTTAGTGGGCAAAAATAAACACACAAAAGACAATTTTGACATGTGTTACCTCCTCTGTCATTCCTATGAGAATCTCCATATCCTCTCTTCCGCTCACCTCTCTCATCTGCACATTAAAATAAGATGGCAAATTTATGTCCCTACATATAGTCAGGTTCAAGTATATATCTATATATAAGAACATAATAGGCAAAATCTACTTAAATGACTATGACTGGCCAACTAATGATCAGAATGATAGCAAAATATGCTGCAAAGAATTGAATCATCACAATCATGGTCCTGACAGCAAGAAGTGAAACACCCCGACTTATGCAAGTTCACAACATCACAAAAGTAAACTGGTCAACAAAAAGAGTAAAAGTGGACGCCTAGAGATTGCCACTAGGGTAAAAGAGAGATTGGACTGTGTAAAGAATGCTATGCAGAGGTAAGAGGAATAACAGTCTAACAGAACTGGAAAAATGGTAAAATTGTTTCAGATATTCCAACAAACATTACATGTTGAATAAACCAAAGTTGTTACTATACAAACCCCTAAGAACTCAATCAAAGACCAAAATCATAGGCACCAGAACAAATGTGAATTCATGGAAATTTGTTCCCAAAAGAACATAATCCAAATAACATCAGACTTACAGGGAGGTGGTGCATTAGGTTGAAAAGATCCACCATAGTCAACTAATTCTCTTTGTGCTTCTAGTTCCCTCTGAACCATCTTACCGTAACCACCTCTTCGTTTGATTCATTAAGGAAACTTGGGAACTCCTGAGAGCAGTTGTTGAACAAAGGGAACATGCAAAGCTACACCATAATCAAAATTGCACCAGTAAAAGACAACAGGCACAGAGAAACATGTAAGTTGATACTAGGTGTGGAGCATTTATGGAAACATCTTATGACTTTCTATGTTCTATAGCACCAAATCAGAATGGAGTAAACTGTAATAGAATAGCATCAAAGGATATCAGGATCATAATCTGTACGGTACTCATCTCTGACCTATAAAAGAAACAAACAATATATAAGCATAAAGTGTGTAGAAAGCCATGTATATTTGTTAGAATAAGATCAAGGCACTACTTGTCCACCACTTCGTCCACGGCCCCATTGCCTGCCTTCTTCAAAGCCCCAATCGAAATCAACACGGATTGGCCGATCATCAAGCATCGTTCCACTAATGTATTTGACAGCATCTTCAGCATCCTCCCTAGAGTAGTACCTGGAAAGAGAGGATCAAATTGCAAAGGCGTAAGCATGGCCATTAAAGCAACAGATACTAACAGTCAAACCAGACTAAGTGGTACTCTCGCAATGCCAAAGTTCAGCTAGGCGCTGGGCGGAATCTAGGCGCTGACCCTCAGCCTAGCGCCTAGGCGGGATTAATCGCGCCTAGGCGTTCCTAGGCGTTTTCCTAGGCGTTTTCCAATACATGCTTAAATTTATTAATACATACTTAAGTACTTAAAAGAAAAGAAAAAATAGAAGACCAATGGTCATGGAACAGGGAGAAAAGAGAAGAAAGGCCCATAAAAACGGCCCAACCCACCTTGTCCACCGTTAAAAACGGCCCAGCGCACCTTATCCACGCCTCCTCCCACACCGCCGCCGCCCGCCACATCGCTTGCTGCCTTTGCCGCCGCTACCACAGAATGAATTCGCCAGCCGCCCTGCCACCAGCCACACAGCCGCCGCAGCCACAAGCCACTGCGCCACACAAGACGCCAGCCTGCCACGCATGCCGCATCACCAGCTTTCAGCCAGCAGCACAGCCTCGCCGCTTCATGAGCCTCCTCCCCACCGACGACCTCCGCCAGCGCTCCTCCACCACCACCGCCGCCGCCGACGAGCCGCCGCCGCCTAGGGGTCCGCCTACCCCCATAGGCGAGGCGGACACCCTCCGACTAGAGCCTAGTCGCGCCTAGGCGAGCGCCTAGCGGAACTATGCGCAATGCACAGGTACGCAATGCGTGCACAGATTTTTTTTTTAATTTTTTTTTTTCAAAATTGACAGCTGATGAATGTGTAGATTCTATGAACCTAACAGAATAGTGAGTTTATCCAGAACAAGGCAGGCTGCCACATTGCACCAACAATACAGTTGGCATCTCTAAATTCAATAAACTATGCTCCGGTTATACAAATACAAAAAATCCATGATACTCATCCTATGAATATAGAATGACACACATGAACCACATCAAACTAAACATGGAAACAAAAACACAGAAACTTTGCAAGCAGGGGAAAAAAAGGCTAACCGCATAGTTGTTATCAGTTTAGCAAAACTTCAGCATAAATAACATCATATTCCTCATTGTAACACTTGATCTCTCACTCTATAAATAAGGAATCGAACATAATTGCAACAACCCAATAAATCCTATAAGAAAAATTTATACTCAGATTGGAACGTGTATACCTAAATATCAGTGCCCATGAACTCACATCCCAGTCTTCTGGGGAAGGGGCTCACAACCAAACATAGAAAACAGCTCTGGTAGAAGCTTATACATATACAAATTCCCAAATGGCCACTGAAATCACCAGTTTGGAACATTATATGTTATTAAATCCCAGTGCCCATAAAAATTGATAAATTAAACCACACCCTAACTAGAGAGCACTTGAAGATAATTGTTTAGGGGGGTGGGCAGCAAGATAAGAGATAAACACATATACACTGAATTTGTTTTTGTTAACATCTATATGGTAAAAATTGTGTTTTCTAAAGAAATTTTCAGGATGGGGGGCTCCACCCCTGAGCTAATACAGAGTAAATGAAATTAAGTAATAAACCATGAAAAGAGGGATTATTGTTCTTATATATGCCATCGTCTCTCCAAGAACCAGGCACCCGCTATTCACCCCCACCCCCCCAGACCAGCGCTTAATCTCCATCTAACCAATTGCAATGTCCTATGGAATGTACACAGAGATATCACAGTTCTCTATTCCTGATCTGGGCATCTCACATGTACCTGGCAGCAATACAATTTCATGAAACAATGTCCAATTGCAACCAGCAGATGAACACCTCACACTACCACACTACTAAAGAACCAAATCAATACATAAACAGGACTGGAAATCCATCTACTCAGCGTCCAATTGCATAAAACTACACTCCAACAGAACAACTGGGGCACTTCTAATTAGACTAGGGCGAGGGCTATGTTCCTGTAAGAACAAACAGGAAATGTAACGCGACGTATCAAGGAAGGGGAAGAGGCGGCCCGCACAGCACGAAGCAGAAACCGCATGGGGTCTTGGAGTTCTTGTCGAGCCCCATGATTATCTTCTTGATCTCGCCGGCGCGGGAGAAGAGCTCGTAGGCCTGCTCCTCCGTGGTGTAGAAGGACATATTCCCAATGTACAGCGTTGTCGACGCAAGTAGCACCGCCTCATACTCCTCCTGCGTCCCCTTGAATCGGCGGTCCCTGTACGCCGAAAGCTTGCTCGGGTCCTGGAGGCAGCAGGAGAAGCCGCGAAGAGCCGCGTCAGTATGGCGGGGCGAGGGGACCAGGATGCTCGGGGAATTAGGGTTTCGGGGATCCGTACCTTGAAAAGGGACGCCATAGGGGGCTGCGGCGGCGGCGGCAGCCGCGCGTGGTAGGTCAAACTCTGCGTTTAGCGGTTGAGGGGGTTTGGCTCGAGTGAAAAAGAGCCAGGCGTGGGGAATTTTGACGAAGGCCGAAGGGGACGAAACAAGGAGGGGGAGGTGTTAAAAATAGGCATTAAAAATATTATATCCGGCTTTCACGAGTTTTTACCAAAACTAAGATAATCTGAAATTTCCATTAAAAATTGGGGACATAATTCCCACCGCTCAGATTTGCAAAGAGATACAATTCTCACTCTGCCACAAAAAGATGTAATTCTCACTTTTAATAAAAGAGTCAAATGATGTGAAGTTTCATTAAAATTATATAAAAAAGAT